TTACCGGAATGAATGTATGCTTAGCTTGGTATACAATATTATCAGTCATATATTCACCGGTGATGGGTCAGATCATATTTTTTCGTCAGTTGCATTTATTAAAAAAAAAAAAAGAAGCATTATCTTTATTGGGAATATATTTGTTTAATGTTATGTGGTATTATATCAAGCACTGTTTTATTAACACCAGAACTATATATTCATATATATATATATATATATATATATATATATATATATATATATATATATATATATATATATATATATTTAAAGATATTTTGTAGGTACAAAATTTAATGATCGAAATAAAAGTATAAAACTTAATATTACGAGACATATTAAAAAAAAACGGGTGAAGCAACCAGTTTCGCTCCCGCTCTTCAGGCTTCAACGAGAGATTTAATTTAAAATTAACACAGAAAAATGTACAATAAAAGGATGTTGTGGGAGGAGAAAAAAATAGCAAAAGGAACTAGAGACAAATGACAGCGAGCCCCAACAAATACTCACACAAAGAAGCCTTAAGGGACCCGATGTAAAGTGCCTATGCGAACACCTATTAAAGAACAGGGATTGTGCAGCCAAATTTAGTGCTGACTGGTTCACCGTGTTGTCTCGGTAACACTCTTTATTTCATCTAAAGGTTCTGGAGTTCTAATGTTAATTATGTTTGATGAATATGTCCTGATGATGGTCTAAAATAGACCGAAACGTCCGACGTTGACTTTATATTAACATTAATACAGCACAGTTGCATATTAAGATTTTTGTTTGTTTTTTTCTGTATTGTTTTCTTCATACTGTCGGATCTATATCCATATATTTTATATATATATATATATATATATATATATATATATATATATATATATATATATATATATTGTATTATTCTGTCGGTTTTTTGGGTGGGCGGTAACCACTAGAATAATGCAATAGACCTACCCATAAGCATCACTGACCAGTATATACAGATAGTTGAGAAAAAACACAACGCTTTGACGGACTTTATCAAAGCAGATGTTAGCATCGGCTAAGATAGGTTTTTCTTTTGCCTTTATTCATATTGTTCTTTTTACAATTACACCCTTGTGCAAATGAATTGAAACAAAACCAATAATTCTGTTATTATTTACTTTTTTCGCATTTTTCCAATGAAACATGACCCAATGCACACGTTAGTACTCCATATGTCCATTCAACGAAATCGTTCCTTATAGATTAACCACAGATTCTTGATTGGATTTAAACCAGGAGAGTTTCCAGGCCAGTCTATAGTATTTTGATTTGTTCATTGGTAAAGCTTGTCAGTGTGTTCGGGCAATGTTGTAATTTTCATATGCTTTCTTGGAGTAACGTCCATCGCAGACAATGATCATAGGACAACTAATCGACAGTCGAGACAATAGTGTATGGGCGGATGACGCAATATTTTTCATGCCAATAAATTTCAATATTTTTGAAAATAGAAAATTTATCATCACACTCTGAAAATAGATTCTAAGGAAAATATTATCACACCACTGTCACAGTGGTTCTAAATGTCCGTATAAAGAAAGGAAAAATAGTTTCAAAATTTGCATATATATTATTCTGCATATAAATTATCGAAGACAAAGCCAAATTGAGGATAAGAAGAATGTGGGGCCCTAATCCTCCAAATCAGGAGGGCCTGCTTTCCTTGAAAATAGACATCTAAAATAAATCCTGATTTTTTTAAAACCTGTCCTCGGTGGAAGAGGAAATATACAGCTATGTCAGCCACAAGGCAGGTCACTGTTTCTCTTTGTATTTTGACCTCCAATGTTACTAAATTAATCTGGAACAAGGACAGAAAAATTGGGCATCTTCGACTATTTTCCAAGCTAGGCTTGGCACGTGGTCACTAAAGAAAGGCGCCCAGTGTAAACAGAACTCAGCAAATTGAACTTTTTTTAAATCATCAGGATATTCAAACTGATTTTTCTAATCTTTCTCTCTCTTTCCTTCCCATTCTCTCTCTCTCTCTGTCCCTTTTTTTACCGACTTTCTATCTTCCTCTTCCAATTCCTCTTTTTCACCCATTCTCTCTCTCCCTTTCCCTATCTCTCTTTCCAACCCTCTTCCTTTCTCTCTCTCCCTGCCTCTCTTTTTTTATCTACCTGGCATTCTCCTTGCCTATCCCAATCTAATTATTAATCTCTCTTTCCTTTTCCCTATCTCTTTTTCAAAAAAAAATTTATTTCTTTCTCTAATCTTTTCCTTATCCCTCTCTACATTTTATTTTAATCTCTATGGAATTCTCTTTCCCTTTCCCTGTCTCTTTTCTTACTTCCTTTGTTTTCTCTCTTTTCCCCCACTCCCTCTCCTTGCCTATCCCAATTGGCAAAAACCCCTCTCTTATTTTTTTCCTGTCTAAACCAAATAAAATTCCTTTATTTTCTCTAAAACTTTTATATCTCCCTCTCCTTATTTTATCCCAAACTTTACCCCTCTCTATTTCCCTTTTCCATGTCTCAAATTTTTCATAAACCCACTTTCTTTTCAAATCCTTTATATCTTTCTACCCTACTCCCTCTCTCCCTTTCCTTGTTTCTCTTTCTTACCCACTCCCTCCCTCTGTCTCTCTTTCCCTCTTACTCTTTGTCTCCCTTTCCTTCTCACTCTCTCTCCTCCACTCTCTGTTTCCCACTCACTCTTTTTTCTCGGTCTTTCTCCTTCTTTCTCATCTCTCTCTTCCTCTCTTTCTCAATATCACGCTTTTTTCTCCTCCCACTCTGTCTTTTTCCAGTTTTTAAAATTTTCGGCAGAGATTTAAACCTTCTGTCTCACTTAGTGGGTGGAGGAAAAAAGCGTGATATTGAGAAAGAGAGGGAGAGAAAGAGATGAGAAAGAAGGAGAAAGAAAGAAAAAAAGATAAAGAAAAAAGATTTAGAATCTTTGTATTCTGTCTCACTTTTTTTCTTTTTCTTCTTTCTCTTTGTCTTTTTCACATTTTCTCTTACTCGCTCTTTCTCTCCCACTCAGTCTTCTCTCTCTTTCTATCCCTTTTGCCCTCTTTCTCTCGTTTTCTTGCTCTCATAGTCACTCTCTCTTCTGTCTTACTTTCACTCTTTCTATTTCTTCTAACTGCAAACCCCTCTTAATAACTTGAAAATTTTTTTTTCACACTTTCTTTTCTCTTCATATGATCTCTCTCTTTTTGTCTTAATTTCTCTTTTCCACACCACTTTCTCCCTTAATGAACTTTTTCTCTTCCTCTCATTTTCTTTCTCACATTCGCTCTCTCTTTTGTCCTTTGGGGAAGATATATATTAAATTTCTCAGAAATTTCACTATCTCTTTACAAACAACAATGGACAAAAATTTATCTTTCATTTTCATTCTCTCTTTAAATTTTCTTTCATTCTTATTCTTATGTTTTTTCTTCCAAATTCAGAAAACTCTTTTTCCTTCTTATTTTGTTGATTCTCTCCACTATTCTCTTTTTCTTTGATTGAAAAGTCTCTCATCTATGAATTCTATCTTTCTTCTCTTAAATATTCTCCCTTTTGTTCTTTTTTCAATTTATCTATGTTTTTTATTCATTTCTCTTTTCTTTAAAAACACTTTTTCTCTTTTTTATTCATTCTTTTTTCTATCTTTTTTTCCTCTTCATTTTTCATTCTTTATTTTTTGAAAAAATTTTGTTTTCTTTTTCTTTTCTGTTTCTTAAAAATTTCTTTTCTCCATCTATAACGATTCTCTTGTTTTTTGGTTTTCTATCTCTTCGTTTTCTTTCTCTCGTTATCTTTCTAGAAACAAATCTCTTTTTGCAAAATTTAAAAGTACATAAAAATTCTTTCTTTTTTTTATTTATTTCATTTATTTATTGCTTAATTTTTTTTGCATTAAAAATATTTTTTTATTGTCCTATTACAAAATATTCAAATTTTTTCATTTAACATTGTTTATTTTTTTTCAAACAAATGATTGAAAATTCTTTTTCTATGAGTTTTCCCAATTTCTCATTCTCAAAACTGTTCAGTTTTATTTTTGAAAGCTATTTGCTTTGGTTTTCTTTATTCAAATTATACAATTAAAGACAGAATATTTTGCAACTGTAACTATATATCTGAGAACATCCCAATATATCAATTTTTATCTTTTTTTTTTCATTTGTTTAAACAAAAACAAAATGCTCTCTTGTTGTGATTTTTCTGTTTCTTGTTGAAATTTGTCCCCATTTTTTTTTTGTTTTCTGGAAAACAAAGAAGAAGAAACCCATATAGAAAAAGGAATCATCTATTTGAAAAAATATCTGTGTGTCCGATGAAGGAAAAAACGAAAATTGAAAAGAAAAAAAGAATTGAAATGGAATTTGATCTTTTTAAACTCAACTCCAAAAAGAAATTATATTTGTTGAAAAAGAAAGAAGGCAGGAAAATTTTTTTAAAGATTAAAAAAGAAAATTTAAAAAATTCTACAGAAGGAATTTTTTTTTTTTTGAAAATCTTTAAATGTTCATCTGACCATCCCTTCTTAAAAAGAAAGAAAGAAAAAAGAAAGCAAAAAAAAGAAATACTATCTTTTTCCAAAAGAAAAGAAAAATGAAAATGATCAATTTTAAAAAAAAATGGATGGAAAAAAAATTTGAAAGAAAGAAAAGGGGGAAACCGTAAAAGTTTGATTTTTAAAAAAATTGGAAAAGAAAGATAGACTTGTTGACCTTGAAAAGGAAAGAAAAAAAGGAAGAAAAAATGATAAAAGAAAGAAAAAAAATCTTCACTAAAAGAACTATACAAAAGAATGCTGAAAAAAGAATAAATGAAAGAAGAAATTTTTCCGTTTTTAAAATAAAATAAAAAAAAAGCTGGAAAGTGAAAAGAAAAGAAATAAAAAAGAAAGAAGAAAAAATAAAAGAAAAAAAAAAAGAAAGAGAAAAAAAGAAAGAAAGAATGAAAAATTAAAGAAAGAAAGAAAGAAAAAATAAGTGATATTGTTGAAAAGAAAGGAAAAGAAACATTTATTATTTGACA